TCTCAAAGAAATGAAGGAATCAGACTCGTACATCCAAAAAGCACTATGAGTTCTACAAAGGCATCACTCCACTGAACCCCAGAAACCATGAGAGTTGTTCTTCACAATGGAAAAAACATCTTCATCCAAGGTTGAATAAATGGCATCAAGACATGATAACGGCCGAAATGAGACATGAAAGCAGAGCCAATCTATACGACAAAGTAGGTATTGTCCCAAGTTTTTTAAATATTAGTTTCATAAATTAATTTTTGTAATTATATTTTCTAGGAACGCCAAGCGGAGCAATTGTATATGGAGGACATGAAATAGCCCTTTACTCATCAAGGTTGTTGGAAAATTTGTAAAAAGTGGATGTTATTTCAAAATTCACCTCAAGAAAGATTTGGTCCTACGTCAGTGTTCGGAAATGTTTCCTCAAATACAATTGGGGATGAATAAGTATCTCCTATCATTGAAGAAACAAGACTAGAAAATCCGTCTCCAGGTCAATCTTCCATACCTAAGGCTATGAGATGAAACAAGGCTAGAAAATTAAGGAAAAGGGCATGGAAAATGAAGAGTTAACCTTCGAGAGGAAATGGTCTCCTCAATGCGATTAATGGCCAAGCAAAATGTCATTGTCGCGGAAGAAATGAAGCGTAGACATAAAGAACGGGCAAAACAAATACAAGAAGAGATGGATGATAAGAACATGGAAATGGATAGTATGAATTATACTCCAATGAGTAAGGCATATTTTGATAGGAAAAAAAGGAAAATTATGGCCCGACAGGAGTTGTTTACAACATCCGACTATACTCCTACAATGACGGATGAAGATCATTATTATAATCATTTGTTGTAGCCTTTAAATTTAAGTTGTTGTAGTTTTTAAATTTAAGTTGTTGAAGTCTTTAATATTTAAGTTGTTATAGTCTTTAAATTGAAAATGAAATAAAATACAAGATTTTTTTGTGTTAGTAATTTCTATTAGCGTTTTAACAAGTAATGAAAAACTCTCACAAAATGTTTTCCCTTCACATGTTGTTTGAAGATGTAGACTGTTGATGCACAAAACCGGAGGTCTTGGAACAACGTAAATCCGACCGTGAATCTGCAAGAAATGTAAATAACACAAGATGTATCGTGGTTCACCCTAAGGTTTGGGCTACGTCCACACTGATTATATTTCTCTGAGAGTATTTGTGAGGGAGAGAGTGTGAGAGCTTTCTCTAGATAGGAGAGGCTTAGGGATTGTGAGGGTGAATAGGCCCTTTTATAGAATAAGGGCTCCTCCCCTAATTACATATTTGCCCCTTCCTTTATTACATAATTACATTTGAGTCCCCCGAATATTTATACGAGATCTAAATACGGAGGCCTTAAATATGGTATAAACAGTAGTCCCCCAAGTCTTCAGTCAAGAGAGTCTTTTGGCTGGAGACTTGAAATTCAGTCCATGTGTGGGCTGAAGTAACTAGATGTTGTCTAGGACTGATACTCGGTATGAGGTGGTGCCTAATCCGAAATGATGCTCAACCAGAAGTAGCACATGTTGCGAGGCTGCTTTGCTTGTGGCTTATGTTGCCTTGGTTGGCTCGGCTTGTGGCGTTGGAAATGAGGGAGTCCCTTTTATAGAATAAAAGCTCGCTCCTTAATACATAAATAATGGGCTAGAGTCGATGCTCGTAGCGAGACGGTTGCTCGGTGATGCTCTCTAATGATGGTGAATGAGTCCCTTTTATAGAATAAGGGCTTGCTCCTCAATACATGAATGATGGGCTAGGAGTGATGCTCGCAGTGAGACGGTTGCTCAGCTGGCGGCGTTGCTCTCTAATGAAGGTGAAGGAGTCCCTTTTATAAAATAAGGGCTCGCTCCTCAATATATAAGTGATGGGCTAGGAGTAATGCTCGCGGTGAGGCGGTTGCTCAGCTAGCGGCGTTGCTCTCTAATGAAGGTGAGGAAGTCCCTTGTATAAAATAAGGGCTCGCTCATCAGTACATAAATAATGGGTGCTCTCTAATGAAAGTGAGGGAGTCCCTTTTATAGAATAAGGGCTCGCTCCTTAATACATAAATAATAGGCTAAGTCCCCCAAGTATTTTTCATGAGGCCCAGTTGAGGCCCAATGTATGGTACATAATGTAGTCCCCTAAGTCTTCAGTCAATAGAGTCTGTTGGCTGGAGACTTAAAATTGAATCCATGTATGGGCTGAAGTGGCGGTTGTTCAGAGCTGGTATTTGTATACCCTGCATTGAAGCTTTGTAGGTGAAGCTTTGCAAATGAAACTTTGAAGCTAGAGTTCTGTAAATGAAGCTTTTGAAGCTGATTGTCATGAGTGATGCTCATGAATGTTTATGTTGATTGACATGAGTGATGCTCATGGATGTTGTCATGAGTGATGCTCATGAATGTTGACATGAGTGATGCTCATGAATGTTAACATGAATGATGATCATGAATGTTTATGTATGATTGTCATGAGTGATGCTCATGAATGTTTATGTATGAATGACATGAGTAATGCTCATGTATAATTTGGAGTACTGGGCATACTTTTGATCACCTGGTTGGTGGCATGAAGGAGAGTACGGGTTGTACATTTCATCACCTGGTTGGTGGCATGAATGACTAGTTGCCAAATGATATTAGAGTACGGGTTGTACATTTCATCACCTGGTTGGTGGCATGAATGGCTAGTTGCCAAATGATATTGGAGTACGGGTTGTACATTTCATCACCTGGTTGGTGGTAATAGCGGCATGTTGCCGAATAATTTTGGAGTACTGGGCGTACTTTAGGTCACCTGGTTGGTGATAATAGAGGTAGGTTGCCGAATAATTGTGGAGTACTGGACGTACTTTTGGTCACCTGGTTTGTGCTATTTTGGGCTTATGGGCTTCGCCCTCCACAACATGCCAACCCATTTATTTTGGGCTTTGCCGTTTTTTATTTTTTTTGTTACCCTCTGATAGGGTTTATACAGATATCTCAGAAAGATACGAAAAATAAAATACATCATTCAAAAATAAGAAAAGTAAATCACATCTTTCTGGTGGGATGTTTATTCCTTGCTTTTGCAGTGTCCCTATGTGCCTCCCTTTCTGTTTTTTCTCGGTTTTTTTCTGCTTTGCTTTTACTTTTGCTTTTGTTTTCTTTTTCGACAAGCTGATGGATGGATGGCTCCACAACTATCCTTTGGGGGAGGCTGTAGCTTTTGATAAAGAAGTTTTTTTTTTCTTTTCCTGCACTTTCCTGCATGTTCTAGCCTTCCCCGAGGTCATTTTTCCAGCAGGTGGCATACATCTGCTTTTCTCTTTTCTCTTTTTCTTTTTTCTGCTGTCTGAAAACCAGCTGGTGTACTCCAGCCCTAAGAGTGCCTGGACTGGAGCAGGAAGATATTGAGTTCTTGACTCGGACACGACTCCGAGTCAGCGCTCCCCACCACGTGATCGTAATTCGCCATCATGTACATTACCTTCTGACGTGAATCCGCCTTTGACCCAAGCGCGAACCCAGCAGGCGTTACCCTCGGCTCCGACCGTCACCGACTGCATCAACTTCAACATCAATTTCACCTTCTCACTTGCTTTTCTTCTCGCCGCGAACCCGAATTTACGGCCGTTGTAATGAACGGTCCAAATGGGGACGGTCATGAGCGGTCTGACTCGTTGCACTCGAGGGTCACGCGGACGAGCCCTAATTGCATCTCATTGACGAGCTGGTGGGTCGAGATCGAGAGCTTGGGAAGGAGGGTGGGTTTGGTGGAGCGGCGGTCGTGGTGGATGCAAACCATACGTGGTCGCGGCGGTAGCCGAAGATTATGCCGATGACTATGGATTTCGAGGGGCGGGGCTGCTGAGGCAGAACCACCGAGACGACGCCGTTTTTGGGGGGTGTGCGAGGTGGAAGATTGAGAATCTTGGTCCTGGGGATCTAGGGCTTTAGTAGCGGCGACATTGATGTCGTCCAGGTCGTGACGCAAGGAGGTGCTGAGGCTACCATTGGCGTCGATGCCTTAATACATTTGGCAGCATGCTCGGTTGCCACAGCATCACCCTTGAAGAAACCCTTAAGATCCACCAATGGTTCATTGAGCTCCTCAAGAGCAGCAACCAAGTGTCGTTCAGGCCAAATGAAACCAGTAGGGACATGGGATTGTTTTTGCATATATGATGAGTCAATGAAAGGAGCAATACCTCCCTTTTGGATATGGCTATTGGTTTCCTGATGGTTTTTGAGCTTTGATGGAGAGGACAAGAGAACTGAGGCACTCGAATCCATAGTTTCATATTGTAGGACACGGACAATTTTCTTTTTCTATGTCTCTAGGTTTTGCAGATTCACGGTAGAGGTGAAAAAATGAAGGAGAACCGACACAACTTTTCGATTCCCACAGACGGCGCCAAATGTTGATGCACAACTCCAGTGGTCTTGGAACAACGTAAATCCGACCGTGAATCTGCAAGTAATGTAAATAACACAAGATGTATCGTGGTTCACCCCAAGGTTTGGGCTACATCCACACTGATTATATTTCTCTGAGAGTATTTGTGAGGGAGAGACTATGAGAGCTTTGTTCTAGATAGGAGAGGCTTAGGGATTATGAGGGTGAAGATGCCCTTTTATAGAATAAGGGCTCCTTCCCTAATTACATATTTACCCCTTCTTTTATTACATAATTACATTTGAGTCCCCCGAGTATTTATATGAGGTCTAAATACAAAGGCCCTAAATATGGTATAAACATAGACCATGTGGAGTGGTATAAAAGAAAAGCATGTCGAGAGAACACCTTTCGACGGGCTGCATTGAAAGATGTAGACCATATGGAGTGCTACAAAAGAAAAGCAAGAGTCCGCTTGCTTTTTTTACTTTGGAAGCATTTACCTAGAAAAGCTAGTGGATGAAAGGTGATGTCTTGACTTTTATTTAATGCAAGAAAATGTTTGCATTAAACTTAAACAATATTTAAGTTTCAATTGTAGTCTTTAATATTTAAGTACTGCTTGGGGGAGTTATTGAAACTTAAACAACATTTAACAAATAATAACATAATTTCCACCCTAGTATTACTTAGGGGAGTTATTGAAACATAAACAACATTTGGTTTATTACGCCTACTCCATTGTTCTTTTGGCTCAAAGATGTGAAACAAGATCATGTTGTAAGTATTTGTTTGTGATACGCGAACGTATGATCCTATGACGCCTTATGTATTCATTTAAAGATACGTTAGTTGTTCTTGCATACAGAGGCAAATTAGGCCCATCATATATTCTCACATGAGCCCTCCTTGTCCTATTTGGATCATATTAGTCGTCATCAAACTTTTCATCAATATAGTCATCTTGCTCATCCTCCACAATTATGTTGTGTAATATAATGCACGACATCATGATGAAGTTTAATTTATCTTGACTCCACCCTCTTATTGGTTCTTTAATGATTTTCAATCAAACTTATAGAATACCAAAATATCTCTCAACATCTTTCTGGTACGCCGCTTGTTGTAAGGTAAACCACTTTTCGGTGCCATCCACAGGGTTTGCAATTGCTTGGACAAGTATCACCCATTTTAGGTAGATGTCATCTGCTAGGTAATATCACATATTGTTGACGCTTGTTGAGGTGATTCACCATTCGTCAGGTTATTAAAGAGGGGTGAATGTATGAGTACTGTAATGTCATTTTCTGATCCTGGGACTCCAAAGAAAGCATGTCAAATCCCTGTGGCAACCGCCTCTAACACAATAATTGGCTTTCTTGATCTTCCGCTAAATCCTCATTGCCATATGGTGGGATAGCTTTTCCATTGCCAATGCATGCAATTTAATGACTATATCATGCCCAAAAAACCACATTCTTCAGCTTTGCAAATGAGCCGAGCAAGATCTGCTTGATACGAAGGTACTTCTTTTTGAAAATTTGAACAATTGTGTGACAAAATTGAGCAAGATTATCAAGACATGTAGACTCAAACATACCATATGTATCATCGCTCGCATCAGTTGGGGAGGTATTGGCCAGCATTCGAAGTGCAACAATAACCTTTTGGTGAGGTGAGAAACCAGAGCGACATGCTTTATCAATCTTCTGCCGAAAGTATAGATTGACATGTTGGACATCATGATGCAAACACTTGAAGACATGACACCTCATCCGGAAGCAATGTCTGATATCCTCTTATGGTTACATTGTGTTTGAATTGAAATAGTTGTTCATCAGAGTCTCATGTGCGATCTATCTTTTTCATGGTTTGTAAGAGCGACAAACAACAGACCACCCCATTAAGATTGTTCTTGAATTTCCTCACACGCCATGGCCCCAGCCATTACTGCCATAAATGTTGTATTGCGCCATGCTTCGTTTTCTTCATCGAACTTCTCATCTTCTCGTCTTCGCTCCGCCCATTTATCTTCCAATTCGAAATTGAATGAAAACCCCAGTTAGAATGCGAAGAGAACCCAAAGTTGGAATTCATTGTAAACTTGAATTGAAATAACAAATTTTAGACAATGACAAGAGATATTGGAGAGGACAAAGATGAATGTGTATGAATTCTAACCCAATATCTAGCCAATTTATTAACATTGGAAGTTGAAGATAAAAAGTATGACGTAGATAAGAATCCTATCTAAAATTTGCATAACCAATTACTTCTCGACACGTGGCACTTGAAATTCTATCAAAAAAATTATTAAGATTACATAAAGATAAGAAATATGGAGAGTTACTCAATTTAGCGACACGTGTCACTCAAAATCCTATCCGAAAAGTTATTGAAATTATGTAAAGACAAGAAATCCGCAAGCTTATTCATTTAGCAACAAGTGACACTCAAAATATGTTCGGAAACCTTATTTTAATATCGTAGTTTAATTTAATTAACCAATAAATTAAAGAACAAACTTAAAATAATAAATTATTGAGGGGTTATTTTTTAGCCCCCTTCGGTTGGAGATGGTATACAAATATGGCATGACACTTTTCATTAAAAAAAAATTTCTTGAAGATCTATAGTCTGAACAAGGGCTAAACATAGCCCTTTCGGTTGGAGATGGCCTACCGTTAGACACATTTAGGCTTTCAAAAATTGGGCTGGCTTGCTGTCTTTCTTATTCTAGCTCGCTAGCCATTTGGTTGATTTATGGCCCAATGAGTCCCAAACTTTTTGGCCCAGCCCTCTATTGGAGATGAGTTTTGTGTCAAAACGAGCCACGTTTTGGCCTATGGCCCTTTGGCCGGCTTAGTTGGAGATTACCTTAATAGAATGGATAGCCCACTTATATCATTCAGAATGTAAACTTAAAATTAAATCAACAATTACGGATTATAAGCTTTAAAATTTTAGATATATCTCTAGCACTTGTGTATGAACCACGCCTAAGTGGCATCTTCATTAGAGGTTTACCTTCTGGGCAAACCATTAATAAAATTATGAGCAATACTTAAGTTCAAATCAGAGTTATGCCCAGCTGCAGGACAATACCATATGATTACTTCAACATGAAAACAAAATCACAAAGAGGGATATGTGATGAAAACCTGCTCTCCAACAAAAATAATTGAAGACTACGGTGCATCAGACTGTAATAAGGATAGCAAGGCTTTGTTCCTTCTGTTTTTACGGCATATCTGTTAAGTATTAACAAAATTAGCATATTCGAAATCAGATCATTATGAACAAAGACATCTCTTATGTAATGTGACTGAAGACAATTGTTGAAAAAAGTACTGAAAAAGCATATGTATAACATGACTACATGATTCAATGACAAGTAAACCAGAAAGAAGGATGGAGTCGGCTGCATAATTAAGAATTTTCTTACAACAAATCTATGCTGTAAAAACATAACAGCATAGGCTAAACTGGATTGACATGGACATGAATTGCATCATTCTGTAAAACACATACATACTATTAGGACACATGAAACTAGGGAGCATTGTATGAAACCCGTATAAAGGTGACATGGAACTAGAACTACATCAGCAAACCTTGGTCCATTTCTGTTGTATACATTCATGTAAAAATCGTCTGTGCTAAGGGATGGAAGCACTAGCAAAAACAGTCTGTCGGGTATTGATTGAAAAGTAGGATGTCAAAAGTTTTCAAAGAGAAGTAACTTGTTTGGAGCTGAGCATGAAATCAACCTAACCAAACAGTGAATATAAGACGTTAGTTCATTATTCTCAGATAAACTTGATTAACCTTTTGGACAATATATCACTCTACTCATAAAAGTCTCATCTGCCACACAAAACTAGCTAAATGAGCAATTAAACCCCAAATTGCATTCCAAATTACCTCATCAATTACCAGCACTAGCATCGATTCAAGCTTAATCATCTGTTTCTCAAGCATTTGGACAAACTCCCAATGGTTGCCACCACAATAGTAGGGGGCTCCGCCTGAAACAGCATTGATGCACCGATTAAACCACATCATTCAAATACAATATCTCTTCGTAACAGCATACAACTACAGAAACCTAAGTCATAGAAAACATGTAAAACAAAATGAACAATATAAACTAAAATGCAGCACTTTTAACCAACTCTTGTGCCTGGTCAACATTCCTCCATCTAAAAACGCCATAATAGTACACAATTTCTGCTCCAATTCAACTTCCTTAGGCTTCGCGGCCAACATCCGAGCAACCTTCGTAACCTTGCACATAAAATACGCATATATTCATCATCTTGAACTCACTTACGCAAAATAAGCATAATTTACTCCATACAAAGTGCAAATGCAATGCAGCCATTTTTAATCAGTGCAAGAGAATCGAACACCGAAAGTCTTACTTGCATCCCAAGTTCCCCAGTGGGGACCACAACGAGAGCTTGAACAGCCGATCTCCGAGTGTTCATAGCAGAAAATATCAAAAGTAGGTACGTCAGCGTCTTCCTAGAACCTGTCTAATTACCAAAAATCACATAACAAGATTCAAACTTTGGCTACAAAACACACCTACGGCACCAAAATTTTGACCTGCGCGTGGAGTATGCAGTCGCAGCCAAAAAATAGAGTCGGCAGAGCCTGCATACGGGCGTCGGCGCGACGAACCCTAGTTCTTCCATTATGTAAAGCATGTGGTTGGCACGTGGGATTGGCAGATTTAACAGACAGTGAGGGGTTCTTGTTCGGATTCGGCATCGGTGGCGACAAGGGTAGTGTTGAGAATGGCCTGTAATGGACGACAACTAGATACGACGCCGTTGAAGGAGAAGAGCCTAGGGTTAGGGTTTAGTGAGGGAAAGGGAAAATGGGCATGGCGGGGATTCCGAGTTGGCAGTAGGAGTGGAAGATGGAGGAGCTGAGTAGCTGAAAGCGTAGCCATTGACAGAGAAACATTGAGCCTTGTAGAGGGAAGATAACGTATATAAGCGGAAAAACGATACGGTGTCGTATTCGTGTCCGTTTTCTTTTAATTTTGTAATAAATAATAGAAAATTGGAGTGAGAAGCGAAATGGTCAGGGAGAAACACGTCAGCTTGAAGGAGTATGGTTGGAGCAGAAGGAAAGAGATCCTCTCCGGATTTCTTCCACTAAGGCTACTAAATAGAGATCTTGCTGGTTGGAGTTGTTGGACGGTCAATCCAATGACGAGTCATCCCTCATTAAGCTTTAATCAAATCTAACATCATTGGCCTATTCCAATAGGCCCTTCCACTTTACCACATGTTGTAATCATTTTCACGCACCTTTTAGAATGTGGAGATACACAAACTCGCTTACTTGTAAAACAACAAACAACTTAAGGACCAATGAGGTGATGGTTAAAGGTTATCTGACACTTAAGTTAGTAAGTAATATTTGAGATTCAAAGACTAGACAAAATAATAAGTGTACGATAATTAAGTTACTAGAGATGAACTCTAAATGAGTATTTATACCAGTCAAGAAATAGTTTTTTTACGATAATCCGTATTAAACTATGAGAATCCCTGAGACGTCTAGAGTAGATAGTGCATCCTCTTAGGACTATGATTACTTGCGGCGCACGTTAATCTTTAGATTGTAGGAATTTCAAGAATATAGGGAAATTGAATGATTCCATATCGGATCAGGTTTTCGTACCTTGCGAAACAAACATGGTCAATCTCAATGAAATCGATGGACTTCGTCCACTACTTTGCAACAAAATGATGGCCGCATCGTTGATCCGTATGTGCAACATTGTGATGAAAGTTGTTGAGTCAATGATCAAACTTCCAAAGTAGTTGTATTTTAATCAGCCTTACACCGACCCTAGAATATCATGATCTCACACAATATTTCTTCCAAAGTCCTTTTTATTTTGGAAAATCTCATTTTTTTTTATCACTAAAAACTACCATGTCGTTGAAGAATCAAGATCAGTACTACACTAATTAATGGATCATCTTAAAAAGAAAAACCAAAGTTAGGATAATGGAGGGTTTTTTTTCCCCATCAAATGTTAGTTTTTTTTATTTTTTTTATTTTTTTGGAGAGAAATACGATATTTTGATATTCATTGCAAACAAAGCAATAATACAAGGACAAATTGACAACAAACTGAGGGTAGTGTGCATATTGGGCCTCGATAAAACCTTGTCGAAGAACCCAGTCTAGGAAAAAAAGTGTCTCGCACAACGAAAGGAACTATCCCCAAATGTCAATACATAAACAAATTAAAAGAAATCCCTAAGCAAATCATGGGAATCTTCCACCCACCAAACATGTAGCGTATAACCATTGATGTGATGTGAGCGTCAACCTGTGGCAAAGCATGAGACCATGGCTTCCATAGTCCTTTCCACACGTTGCAAAACTAGCTTGAACCACCAGCTGAAAATATCTCCAACAACTTAGGGGTAACTCGACGCCAAACAACGTATACAATCTTCAGACATGCACTCTCCTAGAGAACCTAAGGAGACCTAGGAACCCTATAGAGCAATTTTCCTAGGAATACCAGGACTAAACAATGAAAACTAAATTAAACTAAAATTACAAAAACTCGCCCGAAGCGAAACAAAGGGAAAGAAACCAAGAAGGGAACCACAATCTGGCACACCCAGCTAGGGCTGGAAAAAAATCCCAAAAATCCCAAACCAAACCGAAAGTTTTGGTATGGGATTCGGTTTTGCATTTCATTTTTTCGGTATTCCCATACCGAACCAAAATATATATATATATATATATTATTTTTTAATTATAAGAAAATTATTTGAACCGTTCACCGTTTTAGATTTAATATGTGCCGTTGATTTGTTTTAGGTCAGATCCATTTCACAGTTCCGTTCCATTTTCATCCATCTAACTCCAAGCACAGCACATCCTAGCCCCTGGGCGTCTTTCACCGACCCCTCATCTCTCATCTGTCTGTGTCGAATTCTGGCCAACCACTGGCCCACCACCACACCACACAGCCTTCCTTCACCACACAGCCACCGCTCTCTCTCACAATCTCTCTCTCGGGCGATTTTCTCTCGCGATCTCTCTCACCACCACACCGAGTCCGAGTCTCACTCTCACCCCAAATTAGGTAATTAATTTAGTGTTTTGAAATCTAATTTCTGTTGGTAGATTATGCTTTGAAGTTTTCAAATGGTTTTAAGATTTAATTTTTGGTTTTGTTATTCCGTAAACTGACTATTTTTGTTTTCTTGTTTGATTTTATTAAAAGGTTATCTTAATTCTGGCTCCATATCTTTCGTTGGTGCTTTGATCTCTTTATTGCTCATATCTTCCTTCATGTTGCATCTTTATTATTGCTCATTTCTTCTTTCATGTTTGAGGGTTCCTTTGCATATGGACTGGGATATTAGTTTTGCTACAAGGTCCTCTATTCTTTGTTGATCGCTATTGAAACGTACACACATAAAAAGGATGGGTGAATCGAGATCACTCAGTTTCAATTCTTTTTTGTTAACATCGTAACATTTTAGACAAAAGTGAATATAAATTTTTTCATGAAAGGATTAGTTGAGCGAGCAACATCCTTGAAATTGACGAATATGTGAGAGTCCCATTGAGTTACTGCTAGTGACCAAATGTAGATGTTATGCAAATGGATGGGAATGGCATTTACAGTAAAACGTTTAGATCCTCGTCCTCGTTTAAACATTAAGCTTAATGATAATGATTTGTAGATTTACTTGTTTATCACAGATTTGTGCACAGATAGGCAGTGGGCAGTGGGCAGATTGGTTATATACTATGAAAGTATGAAACTACGTCAAATTGGGATTATTGTGGCAATGGGTAGACTGGTTATATATTAGCAACATGCATGCATATGAAACCATTTTGGGATTCAAATGGGCATTATTGTGGCAGTGGGCAGATTGTTACTTTGGTTATATATTAGCAGCATGCATGCATATGAAACTATGTCAAATTGGGTCCAAAAGCCCAAAACCATTTTGGGATTCCCGATTTGCCCGGAAATCCCGAAATTATTTCGGGATTCCCGAAAATTGGGATTCCCGAAAATTTGGTTTGGAATCGGTATTAAAATTGGAAATCCCAAAAATTTCGGTTTGGGAATCGGGACAAGGGTTTCGGTATGAGATCCCATACCGAACCACCCCTACACCCAGCCAGTGGGATACCGGCATCCACACACCAAAACCAAACAGTAACACCGATTCGGACCTAAAAACAAGGAGACACATGAGGGTAAGGTATGGATCTGAAGGTTGGGCGGGAGGGAGAACACGAGATGGGAGCAGGAAGGTGGAGGGCTGAACACGGGATGGCTAGGAGAGAAAGAGAGGAAGGCTAGGAGAAGAAGGAGATGAGGGACTGGTTGCCCACCGGCCCCCAGCCTTAGCTAGAGGCCAACGGCGGAGGCTAGGGTTTTTTAGGGGAGACAACAGAGAGGACTAGTTTTTTCTTCTCATTTTCACTAGTAATTGCCTATATAAGAAAGTTGAAGTGTGAAATTGTCATTTCCTCCCCCACACTACTTTTGGTTAAGTTAATTTTACTTATAAACACTTATTAGAAATATGAGCTGCAATTATTATGCCGAACATTACTTTGTTGTAAGAACCCACTTTTTAAGCACTTTTAAATAAGGGGTATGATATCCACACACCGTATTTTACTTCTCACACACCTTTTTAATTTTCGACCGTCAGATCGGATGAATTGAAAAAGATAAACGGACATAAATTATCATGGGGTGTGTGAGAAGTGAAATGGGATGTGTAGATAGCACATCCCTTAAATAATTATGCTGAACATCACTTTCAATTGTAAGAACGCGTTTTTAGTTATTTCCACTAGACAATAAGACTTGTTTGGTTTTTTGGTAAGAAAATTGCAAAGTTAGTGGGTTGCTAGAAAACTTGACTTGACTTTGCCATTGCCAGCAATAAACCAAAACCAAATGACCAAATGAAAAAGAAAAAAAATGTAAGAACTAGATAATATTGAGACTGGTTATATTTTTAGGAAAACTAAAAAAAATGATTTAAAACTTTTGAGTTTTAACAATAATGACAAAATAAAAAATGAAATAACTAGTATTATAATTAATTTTTTAATATTAAAATGTAATTTTTTGTTAAAATAAATAATGCCCGCAAATTTTTCGTTAAATTTCCATATATTTTTCTCATCAATCAAGCATCTGATTCCATCGAACCAAAGCGTGTGAATCGGTGTTTTGCTTTGCTGCTGCGTTTTGTGATCCTCTTTTCCTCTCTCTCCTCCCTAAAATTCCTTACTTTGACCCTTTACTCTTTCATTCCCACCCCCCCCCCCCCCAAACAAGACTTTTCTAGGGTTCCCTCTCTTCTTCCTCCTCACACCATTCACCCCCACCTCCTCCATAAACCTCTCTTCCCCTCCGCATTGCTAAAAAATGGCGTCTTTAGCTCCCTCTTCTTCTCTTAACCCAAAACCAGTCTCAGCTGCGCCTTCGTCCTCCCCGGATCTTCTCGACGACTCCAACGAAGACTCCTGCAGCATCTGCCTCGAGCCCTTCAACTGCGACGACCCAGCAACTGTATGATCCTTGAAAACCTGAAAAGCCTGTGTATTTTTGTAGAACTCAGTGTTTTGTGCTTACCCAACTGACAGTCTTTACTGGGTCAGTCTTGTAATGCTGATTGGGATTTTGAATTTAAGATCGCTTTCGGTGGTCTGATTATAGTGCTTGCTTTTGCGATTTCTGATTGTGTGATTCTTTTTGGTAGCTGAAATAAACTGTGATCTATTTGTCAATTAGGATAATTTGTTTTATTTTAGCCGAATTTTTGGGGTTCTTTCGGTTGCTGAGAAACATGGTTGATGGAAAAACAATCTGTAATCTTGTGTTTGATTTGATGTATATTGTTATCATAAAGCATGATGATTCGGTGAAGTATATTCTTTATTAACAATCTTTCGGATTGTTTGGTGGGATGTAATAGAGATGAACGAGCGAGAATGCACAGTGATGATTGTGATCATGCTAAAGTTATTTCACGAAAACTAGTTATCTTGTATTTGTTGTTGTACCAAATCACTGTAGCACAGAATGGATACTAGATATCTTGTGTATGTTCTTTGTCTGCAAGTATTTCACTCGTAGATTTAGACGTTTATCTGAGTGTTTAACCCTTAGAATTTCTTCTTGTTTCAGATAACCAGCTGCAAACACGAATATCATCTTCACTGTATATTAGAATGGTAACCCCACTTTACGTTATATATAGGTTAATGTCTTAATTATATCCATCCTCCTTGGTCTACCCATGAAAATTTGTAATTTGCTGTTTCTTAATTGAGACTGGTTTTTTCTTATTGATCTTGATATTCTTTTAGGTCACAAAGAAGTAAAGAATGCCCAATTTGTTGGCAGTTATTTTCCCTGAAGGATCCTGCTTGGTATGTAACTTTCTCTAACTCATGCATGTGATACTTCTTGATTTCTTTCTGTTATGTTTCAATGAAATTTTTATTTTTTGGCGTAGCCAAGGGCTTCTAACTGCTATACAAAATGAGAGGAACTCAAGGTCAAGAAAAACATCTTCCATGGCACCCCAAACTTATCATTCATCTGAGGACTTTGATGTTGAGCACGTGAGTTTTTATAACAAATTTGGTAATACTTAATTTTTCTTGCTGAGAACGGCTTTCATTGACAGCCAACTTGAACTTTTCAGGAATCTTTCTCAGATGACTCCGATTTGGATGAGCGCATCATGCAGCATCTTGCTGCTGCTTCTAGCAGAGCTCGTTATGCTCGCAGAAGGGAAAGACAGAGATCATCTGGGCTAGGTCCTTCCCATGTTTTTGTTTTTTCCAATCATGAAAATGTGCCTGGTTTCCAGCAAACATACCCAATTTCTCCAAAAGATTCGCCAACTTCTCAAAGACCATCAGTTATTCAATCTCCACCATCTTTTATCTGCAGTACTGCTGCCAATAGTGATATCCCTTACAAACCAAGGTATGCAACTAAGGCCAAAAGTTATTCCCTAATGTGGATGCACTTTAAATTTTATTTTATTCTAGTACATACACAAGAAGTGGATATATGTTCCAACTCATGGATGCAAAATGAATATTTTGCAAAAAGTTACTGCTTGTGCTGGTCACCTGGAATGTAGTTTGCAATATAATATGAAGTGCATAGATAGAAGGTGTTATCTCGTGGCACATGAATATGATTTAAGCTTGTTTTGTCATCTTTGTTGTCTATAGTATTCATCTCTTCTTTTTATCTTCCGGTGGCTTACCATTTCCTGGTCATTCCAGAGTGCTTTATGGCCGACCATCACCTGATGGTCCACACAGACCAAGCCCATCCGAGACTATCAATTTGCCTGATTCTATCAAATCCACGTTGTCTGCTGCCTCAGCAAGGTAGAAATTATACTGCTGTACTTCACTTTGAAGTTGATGTTGACTCCTTATACTCATATTTGAAAATTGTGAAAGATACAAAGAGTCAATCTCAAGAAGCACTCGAGGCTTTAAGGAAAAGCTACTTGCTCGTAACAACTCAGTCAAGGAGCTGAGCAAAGGAGTTCAACGTGAGATGAATGCAGGAATTGCTGGTGTTGCAAGAATGTTTGAGCGCTTCGACCTTACTCCAAAGAAACCTGGAGCCCCTACTCCTGTTTCTGGCCCTAGCGGAGGAGGGACTTCAAACTTATCCTTCAAGGGAAAAGGTGTGCTAGAGACTGTTATTGTTCATTCTTGTAATAATAATGGGAGAGTTGGTGATGAAAGTTCAGATGCACCCTCTGGTGTCAAAGCTGCTACGGCAGACCGAGTTGAAGTTTCTTCTGCACAGGTTCTATAAATTTACATTTTGGACCATTTTTTTTTATTGATTGATTGTTGCTAGATAATATTGAAATCTGAAACCATTTTTTTCAAAATATAGAACCAAGAACAACATTTTGATACAAAGAAGCCTTCTCAAATGTGCATTATCATTTCATTTGCCCAACTTTATTTCCGTTTGTATTACATGTGAAGCAACACCTAACGTATACCTGCTTTTCTTGCAGAGCGGACACTGATGCCATACGGAGTTTGGATTTGGCTCAACTCCTAATGGTTTGTGTTTTAACCTCCAAAGTGCACGGCCTGTGTTTTAACTGCCAAGCATTAGACACCTCAGCAAGTGACGTTATGCGAAGAGCCAAACCGCTGGTTGGTTTTGCGTCCTGCTCGTTGCCTATTTATGCAAACATAGAAACCGCAGTTGATGAGTTATTTCTCCTGACCTGCACATTTTCCTTTCCTTTGTTGCTTCGTATTTAAGTGGATTCTGGTGGGAATTCCTAATATATATATAGCAGTTGTCGCAACTGCTTGAACTTATTTTATAACATACATGTCCTGCGAGTTTTGTTTTCATTCGTCCTGGAAGCTATCAATAAAATTATTTAATTAAAAACTAATGATTTCAAACCAAAAGTGATTACTGGTGTGACCTTGAATAAGTTTCTTCTGCTTGAGTTCAGTTAAGCAGGCATCTGCACCCCAACAATCTTCATATAAAGTATTTTCTACGGTAGCACCATCAATGTCGCATAACAGAGCAGCGCCCAAAACCACGGCAATTCCCACCATACAAAATGAGTTAAATGATCAATTATGAAACCCTTGGAAGCTACATACCAAAAGTGGGCGCGACGAACCAACCAAACTAAACCTGACGGATAAATTAGGAATACATAAACAAAAACAGGGGAATGTGATTGCAAAATATTGTTGGATTCTTGGGTAAAATATGAAATGGGAAACAAAGCTAATGGCGGGACATGCCCCAGTCGTAAAGACATAACACGCGAAAACTTCAAACTAGCTGAGATATATCATGCCGAAACTCGGGCTTCTTCATAACCTTATTCACAAACTAAACTCAACAGAACTCGATTATTAAGGATGCAGATGGATGACATGTCTCATCATATAGATCAAGCACTGTGTAAATTGTCATAAAAACGAAGAGCTCTAGATCTGTCCCAAAATTACATCCCCGCCAGAAACCTTGAAGTCTGATGGGACTTCCTCCACATTTAGAGTTTTTACCTTCCCGTCGACCACATAAGCTGACCATCTGCATCAAGAGACCAAAAACACTCAATTTCAAAGCACAAAAACAAATACAACTGATGGTTATTACCTTTGAGAGCGGTGTCCAAGCAAAGCACCACTGAGATCTTTATCCAATTCCAAGCTTTTGTGGAAGCTGCCATCGAAGTCCCCATAGAACTCAATCTATTTAACCAAATTTCAAATAAGAAAACTGATGATGCAATAATTTACATTGAATCAATACAGCACTGTTGCTCAACTTTGAAGGAATTGCCAGATGCGGTTTGTACCATGTACAAGTGAAAAGAGTAATCCAACTTAAACTACTTGAGACTAACAAAGAAATTAAAAATTCACCTTTATAAAAACCTCGATTGTTCTCCAAGTAAGTTAGCCTCGAGACTGACTCATGAACTCTTATAAGCTAGCCGCTTAGACAAGGAATGCAACTAGCTACAATTTGGAATTTGATTTTAGGATTGAAGATTCAGACATCCATCTATCTACTTTTGATTCAATTGAAATCATTAAGAGCAGCGTAACCTGAAAACGTACTTATTTCGAAAACAAAAGGGCAGTACTCAATATAAAGAGAAAACTTACAGCTTCTTTGGCTTCAAGGTTGTTTGCCCAGCCCTTCATAACATATGGATCATTCACAGCTACACAAATCACAGAGTCAACCCCTTTAGCCTTAAACTTATCAATTTGGTTCTTGTAACTAGGCACGTGTTGCGCAGAACAAACACCAGTGAAGGCACCCTGACATATCGAAAACAAAATAACCACATAAATTCCTCTACTAGAAACTCACAAGATTCAAAAGTTCAGTGCTTTTGATTCATAATTTACTCATTTTTTCAGTGTTTTACTGACCCTAAATTTGGCATTTCTCACTAACATATATCTAATTACATCAAACGTATGATATAAACAGAGAGATTAACTTACAGGGAGTCCAAAGATGACGACTTTCTTGCCCTGAAACACAATTTTCACAAAATATTGAGCCTCCAGAATCTTGAAATTTTACTGAAACCAGAAAGCTAATAGAAAAATTAAATAACTGAAAAATAAAACCTTGAAAATGTCTTTGAGAGGAGTGGTGGCGAAGTTGGAGGAGACACCTTCGTCCCAGGTGCGAGCTTTCTGGAGGGAAACATTGGGTGCGGCGGAGACTAAGTCGGTCCCGACTGCAGCCGCCGCGTAGGCTCTTGATTGAGCTCCGATTTGGAAGCCTCTGACCACTGATTTCATTGCGGAGAAGCTCGTTCGCTTCAGAAGTGTGGACGCCATTGCTGAGTGCTGAGCAGCTGAGTCGACTCACTCGATTCGTTTCGCTTTGTTGGTAAGTTGTTCCCCAATTGGAGGAAGGTGGCGATTGTAACGACCTATCAGAGGAGAGAGCCCTAAGATAACGGTCTGGATGGTTCTACTCACTTGGGCTGGGAGTCACGTCTGGATCATTCATGGGCCGAAATGCGAAACAACGTCGTTTTGGAGTTTCCAAAAAAATTAAAAAAAAACAACGTTGTTTTGGTCTTCGGAATGGGCATCTCATTTTCTCCTCAGCACGAATCGGTTTGTTTCTGTCCATCGATTTTGTTTTGATTTTTTTTTTCTTTGGAGTATATCGATATTTTTATATTAAGAAGAGGGAGAGTTCGGCGAAACCATATAATTGGTAGCCTAATTTGGTATTGAATTCCCTGTCCACGATATTCGAACCTAAAACCTCTTACTTCAAAGTGAGAAGGAATACCACCAGATCGTAGTATTGAGTATCTTGTTTTGATTGTCACAGCCCGTCCCAAATTATTATTATCAGTGATGTAAAATGACGATTTTATCCTTGGATATTGAAATTTTAGTGTGTGTGAGACTTATTTTGGAGACTTAGATGTTATTTCCTTGGTTGGGTGGTGACCATGTGGAGCTCACACATAACACACGCACCCTCTCTCTTCTCTCCCGTGCTCTCTCATCTCTCGGACTCTCTCTCTTTCCCTCACGTACGGACAAGTAACAAAGCTCACACTCATGCACGGATCGACATTCTAAAGGTGAGATTCTCGTTCCTTGCAAGCCCCTGAGTACATCTATACTATTCTTAGGACTTGAAACCGTGAAAAACCCGAGAAACCCTAACCCCGATTTTGTGCATTGTTCATGCACACGTAAAATCTTGTGTTTCAGGGAATTTTCAGGACATAGGAAGCTTTAGGACGTCCTTGTGAGGCTCGGAGAAGAAAAAATAGAGTGAATTGGACGTCGGAGGACTGAAATCGAAGCACTACAAGTTTGGCCGAAATTATCGAGCTTGCTCAGGCGTGATTCAATGGTTTTCGAGGCTTCAAATAGGTATAACGTTGTTCCTCTCATCTTCAGCTTTCCAATGGTTCAAGTTTCATGAAAAATGGTGAAGAAACGAAGGAGAATAAGTGTTTTAAAGTTTTACCCAGTTTCAGGCGTCGACGACGGTCGCCGGAGGTTCAAGGTTAGGGATGACGGAATATTCCGTCAAGTTTGACGGAATATTCCACGACGTCAGTTAAATTTAACAGATTTTGTTACTATTTGACGAAATATTCCACGGAATATTCCTGATGGTGTTGACTGATACCGTCAGTATGCCTGTTACGTGGCCGCGCGTGGGGGCGCATATTGCCGTGCCTTGGCCGGTGCGTGGCGGCGGGTGGGATGTCAGAAAATTATTCTAAAAATATGGGGATGTTCGTGGAGTTGTGTAGGTCATTGTGGTATATTCAAATACCAAAATTGAGCATTGTATGAGAAGTTATTAGCTAGTTTTACCTATGTTCTTTAAATAACGTTTTTTATAGTTAATTCGCATATAGGTGAGACTTATCCCAAGAACGAGCGTGTTCAAGGGAGACTCGGGGGCTACGACCCTTCGACATACCAGTGAGTGGGCTTTTGGTTTTCAGTATATATTTATATACTTGATATTTTCCCAGAAATATGTGTTTAAATGAAAGTATGTCGTAAATGCCATGCATATAAGTATAATTCGTATATGAATTGGTAAATGATGCTTTATATATATATATATATATATATATATATATATATATATATATATATATATATATATGGTGCTGTGGACGCTCAGGCAAGCTCAGGTGAGTTATGTTTGGTTATGTGAATTGTCAATGATGTGATATGTAATTGAATAATGTTGAGCTCATAAAACTGCACCTAGGGTGATTGTGATTTAGCCAGAGATATGGCACAGACCTGTTTATTATGTCACCTCCCGCACCATATGCTCATATTGGATCGAATTTAAGTGCACAGTCTTGTCGCATAGACCATCTTAGGTGGTTCCGACTCGTAGGTGACTAGCGATTTATCGCCCAGCTATTATGTGAGAGTAGTATTGAGTATAATTAGATCACACCCATTATTGTCGTACAGACCTTTTCCTTTGGTTCTAACTCTTGTGCAGTATGTTGCCGTATAGGTCATTGTAGTGACTCTGGCTAGATTGATTTTGAGCTATGAATTCAGCCGTACAGACTACCACAGGGGTTTCGGCTAACATGTTATATTTATATGAAATTATTCTTACCTAAATTGCTTACTCTGTTATATCTTGGCATGGCATACATATAAATATGATTATGTGAAGCATGATTTGAATTGATATAATTTCATAGGGTAAACTGTCGGTTTACCCCCTGAACTTTCACCTCACTTTCGATTTCCCCCCTGAATTTTTCTATTGGAAAATTAAGGACTCAAACTAATTTTTTTAGCCAATTTGCCCCCTACCGTTAGTTTTTCATATATTCCATCCATATTTCCGTTAAATGAGACCATGTGCATAACATGTAAGGATAGTTAAGTCATTTCAATTTAAAAATGATTAAAAACTGAAAATAAATAATAATAATAATAATAATTTTTCCTCTATTTTTTTCCGCTAATTCCTATCCTCAATTTTAATTTTCCCTCTCATTCCTATGCATGAAAAATAACATATGGTGTTATTGTCTTCATAAGTAGCTAAGTTAATCTTTTTTTGAAGCATGTACTACCATTTTTATTTTCTCTAACAAATTAATAATTTGACAAATGCTCATGGTGTTATTGTCTCCAAAGCAGTGCATTAATATAAGAAACATGTCCATAAAAAAGACTAGGGTTTCTTATATTAATGCACTGCTTTTGAGACAATAGCACCATTAGCATTTGTCAAATTATTAATTTGTTAGAGAAAATAAAAATGGTAGACAATAACACCATATGTCATTTCTCATGCATATGAATGAGAGGGAAAAATAAAATCGAGGATAGGAATTAGCGGGAAAAAATAGAGGGAAAGTTTTGCTTTTTT